AAAAGGCACTTGCTGCCAAGCCCAACAACCTGAGTTCAATCATCCATGGAAGAGAACCTACATGGAGGGTTTTGATTCTGGATGGAGCCTGGGGCGCCCCTGAGCTTGTGGCTAGTCATCTGACTCAGCCTGCTGAACACTGGGATTCCACAAGCATATCACCATGCTCAGCAGACAATTCAAATAAATGAAAGTGCAGTTAAGTCCTCCTCCCCTCTGACTTCTTTCACTCTGCATGTTTTGAAGATTCACCCACGTTAGTATATCTGGTAACTCATTCCTCTTCAGCAGTCAGTAGCATTCCATTGTGTGAATACACAATTAATGTATCTGGTCACCAGAAGATGATTTGGGACATCTGGGTAGCACAGGTAAAACCAAACCACTCGGCTTATCTGAATAAAACTGTTAACACCTGTACATAGGTCTTGTAGTGGAAATGTCTCTTGGTAGTGTCTTGGTAGTGTCTGACTACCAAATTAGCAACTTAAAGAATTATGTGTAATAAGATATATGTTTGAAAAAATTATAACTTTTACTTCACATAGATAAAAGTTTTGTGGTACAATTTTCTCCTAAAAAACAAAGAAAGAAACAAACAAACAAAGCTCACTTTAGAAGAAATCACTTATTCAGGTTTCTCCCTCAGTCCTTCTTCTTACACCTGCCCTTCACTCGATGTCTGGAGATTCAATTACGGAGACGCAAGATATAATTGGTATGTTGCAAAATATGAAGATATAAATAAAGCAGGAAATGGGATCACTTTGGAAAAGCCAACGCTTTAAATATACTCATTTATAGAAATTACTCAAATCTGCCTTTTGGCTTTGCAGCTGTAAGTCCTACAGAGACAAATGTGTTTCTTGAGAGCTGGAACTACAGGAGCTGCATCAGCCTCTGAAGTTGGGACTCCATGAGGGACAGCTCTAAAGCTAACTCTGTAACACAGTGAAAACCAGAAGACTTAGCTTCATTGTTTCAGTTCTCGAAAGATGCTAGGCTCTATCAAATCATCTGAGCATCACCTCTCTTGCTCACTAAGTAGCAGAGAGCTGATTCAGAGTCAAGTGGCGCTGAGGTCTCACTCAGCCTGAGAGTAGACTGACTTTACCTATAATTTAGGGTACATAGGTTAGCAAAGGACTCTGCAGTGGGGGTTGGGGGAGATCTCTGAAAACTTGGAGAGAGGTAAGATCCTTTCTACAGCGGTACTAAACTTTACAGACAAAGTAAGCCAATGCCATTGACTAGGAAGAGCTAGGATACTGACGGATGGCAATCTGGAATTACTGGTGTCATTCTTAAGCTCGTGGACTAAAATCAAGGGTCAAAAGCCAAAGAGTCTAAATGTAATGTGGTACACTGGACTGGCTCCTGGAACAGAAAGAGAAGACTAACAAAAAACTAGTATGAAGAAAGTCTGGAAGCTAAGACTTGATCTTTACTTTGTTATATATAAAACAAAGTGTCTAAAAGACAACCTAGAAAATACCTTCATTACCTCAAATAGGAAAATATTTTGTAAATAGGACACCAAAGATACTGAACATAAAGACTGACACACAGAATTACATTAAAACTAAGAACTTTCAGTGAGTAAGCTACCATTAAAAGGGAAAAGAATAAAGGACATATTGGAACAAGATATTTTTAATATAGAGAGCTATGGTTAGTGAGAAAAGAACTGACATCTCAGAGGAAAACCACTAAGATATGTAATAAGTTCCCCACAAAACAGAGGATCTAGATGGTCAATAAATAAAAAAAAAAGTAGAAATTAAATCTATGGCATGCTATTGATATATATCTAACCAAAATGGTTAAAAATTAAAGAGAATATTAAATGTTGCCAAGAACATGCAGCAAATGCGCATCTTATAATACAATGACAATCACATAAAGTACAATCCCTTAGTAAAATCCTTAAGGTGAAAGGCATATATTCTATGACCAGGTAACCCCATTATATATATATATGTGTGTGTGTGTGTGTGTGTGTGTGTGTGTACACAGTGGGCCACATCTAGCAGACACTCTGGTAACTACATCTTTACAGTTGGTATTAATAGTAAAATTATTATTAAATCTTAGAATCCAAGGCATCAGTCAGAGGCATGTGAAGCACAGTGTAGAAAGAGAAGCTTTTCCCATGGAGTGCCTACCTTAAAAAAATGTTAAGATTCTATAGGGTTTTTTTTCTCAGCATGAACTACACGTGGTTTTTTTTGTTTTGTTTTAAACAGTACTATAAAATTAAAAAACAAAAAACCCTTACACTAGTTTTATTGACAACAAGCAAAAGAAAGTTGTCTTCAGTACTGCCATGTAGTTTTCACTCTCCACTTAATCACAGGGGGAAACTAGGTTCAAGGTCCCGGGCCCTAGGGGAGCTGGGGACTACTCAATAGCTGAACAGCTTCCGTTGTAAGGAGACAGTTGTCTGAGCCGGCCACCTCAAGGACAACTTCTCCATCTTGCTGACAGGGTTAAATTAAGTTCATGTTCCCAGGCCCAAGAACCAACTCCTATCCTAATTGGTAGGAAAATGCCACAATTACTTGGCACAGATCTACGATTTGCAAGCTTAAATGCTCTGATGTTCTGGCTTCTTGTTGCAGTTCAGCTCCTGAGTCTGTCTGTGGCCTGATGGATCAGTACAGCTTGATTACAATACATTTGCTGCGGTGATCTGCTGTTTGAGTTATGTTGAATTGAAGTGGACCCCATGACAGTTTCAGGTTTTCCCTTAGAAAATGGCAGTGTGATAAATCCTGTACTTCCTTAAAGAAAATAGTGCTGACAATGGCATATGGTTGGGGAGTCTTCCAAAGAAACTGCTCCACACAGCCTCCCCTGTTATTTTCTCTGCCTTTTAAGGTCACAGTTACATGATAGAAAATCTGGGACGCACACCATCTGTCCAGACAGCTCCCTCACTGTTCACTTCCCTGCTACTCAGAGCACATCACACTTCCCAAACACTGCTACTATAATGAGCTGGGGAGCGGACCGGAGCTGTCTCTACCAAAAGCGCAGCAGCGGAAGTGAATGCTTCCTCTGAGGAGCATGCTTCTGGATCACACCCGTGAAAAGAAAAGTTCACCCTTAATAGGACATGTAAAATAAAAGAGTGACGGATGTTTTACATGACTTCTCAAAAAGCAGATGCAGCACTTCATAATGAGCTGACTAGATGGCGCCTGATCTGTACATCTGTCATAAGACTTTTTAGTCTTTTTAGGGATAATTTTTTTCGATATTCCTGTAGTGGTATTAACACCAGCTAATAGCATTCAGGACATCATGACACTCGTAAAATCCCTTCCTGTACATTAATACTTTTAATCCTTAAAACAAGGCTGCATGACAAGGTCTAACTTTGAAGTGGAAAAACCGTATGCAGACAGGCAAAATAAAAAAAATTGCTGTTGTGTAGCACATAGAGCTGAAATTCAAAAGCTGACTCTATGATCTTAATTTCTATGGTATGCAATCTATAAGAAAAAACTCTATACACTAATTTTGGCACCTGTTATATTTTGAATATACAAGCTGTAAATATTTCCAACCCCCACCCCATTCACCTAACTTTAGGTATTACTTATTATTGTGCTGGGTAGCTTACGTCAACTCAGCACAAGCTAAAGTCATCTGAGAAGAAGGAACCTCAATTAAGAAAATTCCTCAAGCTCACACTGTAGGTACGCCTATACAGCTTTTCTTAAATTAGTGATTGATGAGGAGGGCCCAGCCCATTGTGAGTGGTGGTCCTGGGTTCTATAATAAAGCAGGCTGAGCAAGGCATGATTAAACAGCACCCTTCCATGGCTCCTGCCACCAGGTTCCTCCCTTCCTTTGATGTACTACAATGTCAAAGTGTAAAACCCTTTGCTCCCCAACTTACTTTTTTGTCATGGTGTTTCATCACAGCAATAGAAACCTTAACCAAGACTCTTATATACTCATTAACTTACTTATTTCTAAGTATATTTACAAATTTTAATCATTTTTTGTGTTTGTATGTACACGTGTAATGGGCACAGTGTGTTGTATGTGTGGGTATCAGAGGACAACCTGTGGGAGTTGGTCTCTCCTCCCTCCACGTATGTCCCCAGTGAGCCAACTAAGGTTGTTAAGCCTGGCAACCAGTGTTTTACCTGCTAAACAATCTCACTGGCCCACTTCTCTTTTTTAAAAAATGTGTATTCCTGGGTATTTTATAATCAGATTTTGCTCAATAGTTTGTTGTCATAAAGCAAAGTAGTTTTTATAGTTAACAAAAGTTTAAAGGATATGCTCTAGGATCAGAGTCAATTTGGGGATAATTTCTGACTTTCATAAAAAAGTTTGGGTTACTCTCAAAACTTCCAAAACAAATTTACTTTCCAATCTTCACATGAAGACTCAGGGACCCTAGTACCATAGATGAACTTAAGAAAAGCAACATGTAAGTCTAGAATTCTTCCTCTATGTATACAGAATAGTCTCCTTTCTGCTTAATGGTTTGAATTTATGCCTATGGTCACATGACTACCAATGGTAGCAATGGTAGTAACTATAAAATAATCAAGACATTAAGTAACAACATCATTGATAATCCTACATGCTGTTAATTTGCTAAGTGCTAAAGACTGTGCTAAGTGCTTCTTACTGTCACATATATCATGGAGGCCATGTGGAATACTGGCTAAAAATATGAAATCTATAGAGTCCATCAGTTGTTTGTCCATTCCTATAGATTATCAAGCTCTGTAACTCTGATAGACATACTTCTGCCTGAGGCTGTGGGCTTGACTTTTGTGCTGTTTGTTCTATGGTAACTAAAGGCTTTGATCATAGCTCCTTCCTCATACACCATCCTCACAGTGAGTTCTTCTGAGAGCTTCACAGGAAAGCTGGACTCTAGCTAAGCTGAGAGCACATTAGCAGACTTTCGAGTTTCTAAAATGACTCCCATAGTCCCTTTTTTATTTAATAAGTACTTATCTGGTTCATACTTAAACTTCTTTCCTGTTCTGGCCTGTGTGCCTCCATTCCACATATGGTCAGTCTCTTCATAGAAGAAAAAAATATCAAGTTTTACGTCATCTTTTCCCTGGAAGGAAAGCTCCAAGCTGTCTTCCACCTACAGGAAAGACGAAAGCCTTCATAGACTGAAACAACAGGCACACATTTTCATTTTGTAAATAAAGAAAGATGTTAATGTTTTATGTAGTGAGCATTAATTCTAAGATGCATGGTTTTTAAACTTAGGTCCCTATGACAGTAGAAGCTTCAGAAAGTGGGATACTCTACTAACTTTTCTTAAATGCATATATGATGTTTCATAAAATGACAAAAATTCATGAGTAAATGCCTCATGTTAGTTAAAACTGTCACTCTGCAGAGAAAATTGAAACATCATATTCCAGAGCCCATTTCCAACTAAAGAAGAAAGGAAACTTATCCTAAAAGTATGGCTCACTTCGGACTTGGTGCGTGTGTCTTCAACAGCATCACATAATAATTTATGTGATCCTTACCGGGATAAATTCTAATCTGTATCTTCCACTGCAAAGCACAGTGCCAGACATGAGCACTTGGCAAGAATCTGCTGAATGACTAAAGCTATTGCTTTGTTGGCTGTAGAAAACATTAAAGGGTGTGTGTGTGCACATGTGCGTGCGTGCATGTGTGTGTGTGGATTTAAATTAGAATCATTATCTCTGATAGTGCGAAATAATTTTTCAGGAATAAATTTTTTCCCCTTTTTTTACTTACTTTGCAGGATAATACTTTTCTGGGAACTAATTAAAAGCAGGATTATCACAAAGAATCATGGGCTTCTGGAACACCAATCAAACTGTCTAGAGCGAGAGTTCATCTAGGCCGTAGTTCTAGGGAACGGTGCCCTGGCTCTTGCTAGTCTCTGAGGAAGCTGCTCACCTTAGGACAACTGAGCAAGCAAGACAGGGCTGGTTTAACACGGCTCTATGGCTCTATCCCTTAGCAAGCAATGGATATCTGCACTGATATTATTAGGAAATCTAGTCCTAAGAGATCATAGAATTAATTAGATATGCAGAAAAAAAGTAACTTCAAGTATTCTAACTTTATATTAATTTTTCACCATATTATTGCCTAATCATAGAGCTGCAATACAGCCTTTTACAAGAGCCAAAGAATCTTCTTTTTTCACTCTTAGTAAAATGCTGGATTTTCTAGCTTCTCTTTAAGAAGCACAGAAATCTTAAGGGATAACAACTCTCACAAGCCCATCCTGATGGGTACTGGGTGATAAAACTATGTTTGTCACACATTTAAGTATATATATGTTAGAAAAGGTAAACTTTACAATGGAGACATTTACGCTATTTACGATATTAATTTGACTATTACCAACCTTCCCAAACTTGTGTTTGAGTGGAAGTCCTGCATCCTGAAATGCCAAAATAATATCAGGTTTGTAATCTTGTATAAAAATTCCTAGGTCAACATCTTTGCTATATGGAATAATACTGCACTGCCGATACCATCCTAAAATGGGGGAAGGGGATATAAAATTTTAAATTATATTAATTATTATAATGAACAAACATTATAGTAATAGCTATATAATTTCATAGGGTTAGAGTTGTGGTGCTTTACCAAGATTATTTTTTAAAAGTTAAATCCCAAACTAAACAACTTGGTTATGGATGTTTCCTTGAAGATTCAATCTCCCTCTTTCTCTCCCTTTTTCTTTCTTTCCCTGGTCTGAGTGCTCAGCTTCCTCAAAGGCTTTAATGATGTCAGGTGTGGTGGCTCACACCTTTAGGCCAGCCTGTTCTGTTCTACACATTGAGTTTCAAAAAAACAGCCAGAGCTATGCAATGAGATCCTATGTAAACAAGAAAAAAATTATCAGGATCCATAATTTCTGAACAGAACACTGGCTTTACTAATGTGGTAAACAGATGATCCACTTAACTGCTGCTGTTCAGAGTGTTTAATCATTAACATTTAATGATCGAGACTGCCTTAAGATGTGCAAAGAATACTTAATTCTCTTAATATACTTTCTTGAGTCCATAATTTACAGAACTTACCAATTCCAAATAGCTCATAAGCAATGGTCAAAAAGATCTCACTAAGGTATGATGTTTCTCAGTGATTCCTGTGTGTCTACTTCTGCTTAGGTGCCTCAGCCATGTTCTAAGAAAACTTACGCCCTAACATTACTAATAACTCTTGAGTATTCCCTAATAGCTTCGCATGCTTCTAGTCAAATGGCTTTTAAAGTATGCAAGTGTCTATAGTCATCCTGATAGGCACTGCTACTGGATAATATTATTTGGAATTACAAAGAATTCTAGTAAACAATTATAACCTATTAAAACTGAATGGTTTGCTAGGTGTTGTGGCACTCACCTTTAATCTCTAGACTTAGAAGGCACAGACAGGTGGATCTTTGTAAGCTCAAGGCCAGTCTGGTCTACAAAGAATTCCAAGCCAGCCATGGTGACATATTAAGACCCTGCTTAAAAAGCAAAAACCAAAAACCTCCACCATAATGTAAAAATGAAGGGCTCCTTAAATACCATTTAATACACAGTATCATCAAATATAATTCTCTTATTTTATAAATGAAATAAACCATGAGGCTAAAAACTCAAATCACGACAAATGACTAAAAATTTTAAATTACTGACTATAAAACAACCTTGCTTCTATAGAAAAAGTTAAGCTTTAAAGCAACTATCACATACACAAGAGATTACCATGTCCTCTTTTATGCTTTTATTATTTTGTTTTGATTTAGGCTCTCGTGTATCCCAGACTGGCATTGAACTTGCTATGAAGCTATGGCCTTGAACTTCTGAGCCTCCTGCCTCTACCTCCTGTACTGGATTACAGGTGTGTGCCATACCCAGTCTAAGCTTGTGATCTTTCACATAGCCCACTTTGTAGGATAGCCACGAATCCCAGGTTACAACCAGTTGCACATGCACAATTATTTAAGGCATTTTCTTTCTGTCTCAAAGTGTCCTGAACTGGACAATAAATTCTACAGTGACTCTTTTTAAAAGCTGAATTAACTGGAATTAACTTTTGTACAAATATAGTCACAATCAAAACAGATAGTTATCAACTATAGTAAAAACTGAGAAGGAACAGATAAAAACCAATAATCTTAAGGATTTATATAATTCTCAATTCCAAAAAGCTGATGTAATGAACAGTGTATCTGGAAACTTTTTTCAGAGTCTAATAGCTGATGATTAAGACTACAAAAGTATCTGTCCTCATCTCAAGTAAGTAGTGATGCCAAACCAGAGATGCTCTCAATGACCTACAAAAGTTTATGGATGATCTCAGAGCATGCCTTTCAATCTTCCTCTCACTTGAAATGTTTCCTGCAATATAACTTTTTTGTTGTTATTTTAATGTAAAGTAATAGTAATCTTTCAAGATAGAGCTAACAAAGGTATTCAGGATAACAAAGGTAATTTAAGGATTACCTGAAAACCAACCATAATATACATGTCTGATGTAAATTTGTACACATTATAACTTTTAGTAAATACAAGTGACCTTAGATTCTATGTCACAGGGCTGGAGAGATGGCTCAGAAATTAAGCACATTGGCTGCTCTTCCAGAAGTTCTGAGTTCAATTCCCAACACTTGCATGATAGTTCACAATCATCTATTATGCAATCTGGTGCCTTGTTCTGGTATGCAGGTGTGCATGCAAATAGAGCACTAAGAAACATAAAGTGCATAAATAAATAAATCTTTTTTTAAAAGGTTCTATTTTATATTTTATCAATTACTTTTTACAGCACTCAACATATCTTTGCTTTGTACACTAATGCTTATTCTGATTATAAATATTACACTGCCAATATTACTGATGCATGATAACCTCAAGCATTTACTCCTAAAGCTAAAAGGATGAGACAGAGAAAAGTAAAGCATTTTTACCTAGACAAGTCCCACTGCTCAGCCAGAAGGGCACTCCCAATTCCTTCAGTGTCTTGGCTGCTAGTTGCAGTAACTCCTTTGCCCTCTTCCGAAAGGCCATAGCATCCACAGTGTTATCATCAACATATTGCTGCAGGTTTAATAAACAGTTATCTATTATAACAATCCATATGCTGCTAGAAACACTAATATGATATTTGAATTAAACTGAGAAATTAACAGCATATCTTTTTTTCCATTGTAAAAAGTCCAAATTTAGGAGGCGTGGGCTGGCTCAGTGGGTAACGTGTTGCCATGTGAGCGTGGGGACCTGTTTCAACACCCACATAGGAGCTGGGAGTGTTGGTGTATGTGTGTCCCCAACACCTGAGCTGTGGGGGGTGGGAGACAGACAGACAGATCCCTGGAGCTCACTGGCCAACCAGTCTCCACCAGTTCCAGGGTTAGTGAGAGAACTATCTAAAACATCAGATGAAGGAGTGTGGCTGCTGCTAACTTGTCCAAGCTCTGGTGGCTGGCCCATGCCCAAGTACAAGCAGAAGTACTAATTGGGTTCTGTGGATTATAAACATGAAAGAGATGAAAGTGGAAGGAGGTGCATTGGGCAGGAGTGCAGGAGACCTGGGAGTGGATAGAAACAAGATGTAATAGAGGAAGGCACTGAGTGCCAGCCTCTGGCCGCAGGCACAAGTACACCACACATCTACATTCACAGGCACACATGCCTACACCCCACAAAGCCAGAAATCAGAATTTACTCTGATTTCTTAGTCACACTGTAAGTTACTTCTTAGTCACACATTGATATAATCAAAATAGATTCTAGAAGAACCAGTTTAAAAGGAAAGAATATAAGTAACTAGGATTCCCCAACGATAAGACTTCAACTGTTATCAGTTTTCTCTACACATCAGAATTTAGCAGGCTGAGCAGCTGGAGGAAAAAAAGAACTAATTACACAGCTAGAAGCACTGAACAAAATAAATTAAATGATGTTGCCATTGTACAGTCATTTACTTGTCTTTAGAGACTGGGCAGTCAAACAGGGAAAGACACACTCCATATCAGATGGCCTGGGTCTGGCTCTAGGTCATCTCCTTTTACAATATGCAAGCTCCAGGAGGAAAAGACGTTTGTTCTGTCAAATACCCCAGTGTCTACACCAGTGTCTCCACATCTGATGAGTGGACAAGAGAACGGAAGAAGCAAATTTCACTGTGCTCCCTGGTACTGTGCAGGAACTTCAGGTACCTAGCTTTTCTAGGTGTTACTCACACAGAGGTGAGCTTTGCAGTGATGCAGCTGACTCTGAGACATCCAGACTCCTGGAACTTCTCACTCACGGCCTTGGAAGTAACCTTAACAAACTCAGGGGTTCACCAAACTAGACTTCAGTGGAATCAGTTTTCAGTCTGCTGTTCGTGTCCTATCTAGGGTGAACACTATTTACTCATGCTTCCTCAGGGAAAGTCAGGCAAGAAGCAATAACAGGCAGTCAGGTGGCATCTTCTGGGATATGAGAAGAACAAGCATAGCAGCACTGCCATGCTGTTTATCTACGAGAAAAAAACCAGAGGGACGATTTACAAAATATCTGATGTAATCTCCAAAATTATCAAAGTTGTGAAAGTAGGGGGTACTAACCAAGACTAGTAGAGAACCCAGCACAGACTACAGGAAATTAAAGAAATAGGAAATCAGTATAGCATGTGATTCTAAACAGAATCCTTTCAATAAAAACCTACTACTAAGACAACCAGCAAAATGTGAATGTAAACTTTTGCTGTTGTCTTTAAATTGTCATATGCCTTGGCTTGCCTGGAACTTTTGGCAGTCCTCCTGCCCTGGCTTTCCAAACATGAAGATTATAGGCATGTGGTCATCATACACAGTTTAGATTGAGATTAAAAGCAATGTATGTTAAGTCTAGATTTTCAGATATAGGAAATAATCTAGGTTTTATTGTTTGTTTGTTTGTTTGTTTTTAAGCTAAAACTTAGTTATTTGAGGCTTTGGGATACTGGTTTATAGTTTATTCTCAAATGTGCCAGAAAAAAAAAGAGGTATTATTTGTATTGTACTGACAACTGTTACATAAGTCAGACACTGTTTTAAAAAAATCATTATTAAAATAAATGAGAAAGCTAGGGGGCTACTTTACTAGGTTTATTGGATTAGTTCATGTCTACAACCATCCTGTGCATTTCATTTAAGACTGTTTGGCGCCATCAAGTGTTCAAATGGGTGTAAGTAATTTTAATTTGAAAGTGTACACTCCTGGTATCTTACTCAGGGTTCTAACGTCAGACACAGAGGAAACACGTAAAAAGGATAAAGATAAGACATGATGGCGCCCTTTCGTCACTGCACATCAGTATCAACACAAGGGCAGTGGTGAAAACAAGGCAAGCATCACTAACAACATGGCTGCTGCAATTGACTGCTGTGAATAAGACGCCTGCTACCAGGAAGCTCACAAAATTAGGCAGATGTAAAACATTCACAATTCACCGTGGTAACTGCTAGGGCAGAGGCAATGCTCATAAGGCAGGAAGCACTGAATTCATCCCTCCTACCTCTTATTACACAAAGCTCAGTAAATTTGATAGCCCTATAATAATAAATTCAAAAGAATAGGAAGAGCTAGAAGAACCACTTGGCTGTCTTGGGTCAACATACATGTAAGAAGCCTTGTATTTAAGTCTTGGACACTGGCAGCAATAAAAGAGTTGGTATTTGATATCTCCTACGTGCTCTAGTTTGCTTTGTACTACTGTGATAACACTATGATCAAAAGACAACCTGGGGGTCAGGGGAAATGTATCAGTCACAACTCATGCCTGAGGGAAATCGAGCAAGAACTCAAGGGAAAACTGGAGAGCTGGGCGTGGTAGCACAAGTCTTTATTCCCAGCACTTTGGAGGCAGAGGCAGGTGGATCTCTGTGAGTGAGAGGCAGAGAAAATAAAGGGCAAGTAGAAGAACTAGGGTACCAAATCCCCGCAGTCAAACTGTCTGCTTTCACTGTCTTTCTGGTTTCATATAACTTGTTACAGTTGAACTTTTACACCCATCAAAATCATTCTGATATCACTACAGTGAGAAGCCTACAAAGTTAGAACAGCAGAGGAAACGCTGAAAACTCAGCTGGTCTTTGTATAGCACTTTGCCAAACACACACACATTCATATTCAGTGCCAAACTTAGACACACACGTACTCAAAAATCCCTATTTAAGTCTTTCTAAATCCATATGATCCCTTTTCGGTGGCTATATTCTAAACCAATTTGGACTTCTTTAAAAAAAAATGTACCTTTAAAATAGTTCGTGAACTATCATAACTGTGGAATAAGCCAGTGTTAATCCTATCAGCATCTAATGAAATAAAACTGTTAAGTATATGGTCATTCTCCACTCAGGGAAGAAAAAAGTTTGTCTGTGTGTGTGTGTGTGTGTGTGTGTTTGTGTGTGTGTGTGGTATGTGTGTGTGTGTGTGTGTGAGAGAGAGAGAGAGAGAGAGAGAGAGAGAGAGAGAGAGAGAGAAAGAGAGAAAGAGAGAAAAAAAGAGAGAGACTGACTGACTCAGGGCTGCTTTGGACTTGCGATCCCTGTCTTAGCTATCTGAGTGCTGACTGTGGTTACAAACCTGTCATACTAGCCAGCAGAATTTAAGTTTTCTTTTGAGACAGCGTCTATTGGCCAGGGTTGCCTCTGAACTCATCACATAGTGGAGCGTCACCTTCAACTCTGCCACTGTCTTCCAAGTGCTGGGATTACAGATACCTGTTACCATGCCTGATTCTTGAGGTGATGGAAAGCAAACTCAAGCCCTGTGCATGCTAGACAAGCACCCAACTGTCTACACTGCATCCCCAGCACTCAGAAAAATAAAGCTTAGTGTTCAACTTTAAATTAAGAGAAAATCAGTGGGATGAAAACTGATCAACCTAACAAGCCATTTTAATGTACTCTGCAGAAGGCTCTTCATTTCCTCTTAAAACTAAAATTAGCATAATACTCTAATTAAATTTAGTTTAGAAATACATTTTTTGGTTGTTTCTAACCTGAAGGAATGCCCGAGCTTCTTTATACCTGCACTCGATAAATCTAGAGCGAGGTACTTCTTCTAGAAAGCGCCCTGGGTCTTTTGGAATAAGCATATCTAATCCATCAACAGTAACTTGCTGTAACTCTGGCCTGCAAAACAGAAGATATAAAGAAAATTTACTATCAAGATTGAATCCAGAACACTGGCAGCCTTTTAAAACAGTAAAGGAGCTGAATATCAAGTAAATTTTCTTCAAATCCTTTGAGCATCAAACAGCAACTTTATTAGGACCTTGAAAATCAGACATCAAATAGCAACACAGAATTTTAGTTTTAAATATTTTTGCTTATGTAGCTAAATTTGAGGGGAAGGTGAGAGAAATGGATTCCCTCTACAGAAAGGCCCAGGGCCTTGTGCATGCTACCACTGAGATACACCCTATCCCTCTTTCAATTTGAATAATTTTAAAAAGGATTATTTTTATTTGATTTTTTGAGACAAGGTTTCCTTAAATTGCTGAAACTGGCACTGAACTTGCCATCCTCCTGTTTCAGCCTCCCATGTAGCTGGTATTACAGGCCTCTGCAACTAAAATAATTTTTACAGATACTTTGGCATTTTAGGCAGAAATGAAAGTTGAATGACATCATTTTCAGTTACTTAGTTTTAAAGAAGTACATAGTTCTTACAGTTAAAAATCTCCAAGTGAATTACTGTAACCCAGAAGCCTCACTGACCAGAGAGATGCCTGAAACCCACATGCTGTGAAGACTGCTGGGAACTTTCTATTCCTCTATGTCAAACTATAAAATGTACACATAGCTTTATCTACCGACTAGCACACATTATACTCACAAGTTATTTTTTGGTTGGTGATTTGAACTTAACTAAATTATTAACTAAACTTTGAAGTAAATTTTTAATAGTTGAAGAACTAAATGACTTACTTAAAAAAACCTGTTTGAAACACAAAATAAGAAAAAAAAATGCATAAGCATGAATAGTCAAAGATGTCAACAAACTGTTCTGACAGTCCAGAATCATTTTGGCCCCTGGTATTCCTGAGTTCTCTACCATCCCCATCTAGGGATATTCTATCTTGCTTTGGGGGTAACTTTTCCTTACTATTCTTAGTATTATTCTACTTTAAATATATCGATGAACATAGTATACCTCTACACTATTATTCTTTTTTGCCTTGAGACATTCAGCACTGTAGAACCCATCCACACTATTAGAGAACTGCAGTGGGTTTTCCTGACGTATAATACTTCAATGTATGTGTGTGTGTGTGTGTGTGTATACATGTATATATAAATATAAACATAATATTATTAACTTATTACTGTTTATCGTTATAGATTTACCTGTCAAAGGCTCCAGGATAACGACCAAATTGTAACTTTCGAAAAGGAACGAACTTCCTATCCATGTGTCCTTTGAGTCGCAGGTGGCCATGCCAGAGGTAGTTGCCACTTCTCTCATGAAAGACTACCAAGTGGATGGCATGAGTGGCCAGCTTACAGACATAGTGCAGAGGAATTTCAGTTCCAGAAAGTGAGTCTATTCCATCTAACCGAGGATCTTTGCTTTCAATCTTTAGGCATTGAAACCCCATATTCTCAGCTATCCGAAACCAGCCATCCTAGTATAAGACAAAAATCAAGCATGAATATTTAAAACCAAATATTAGCAGCAAAACATCATTAATTAAGCCATATTTTTGTCTTAATTTGCTTTTTTGCTAGAACATTTTTTAAAAATAAGAGTAGTGAATAGAAGGCAGTGCTGAAAAAATAGAGTAGCGAAAGGAAGCTGTGGAGAATGGAGAATATCCCTAAGGACTCTGAAAATTAATACAAATTTCTCCTTATGGGATGAGAATGATCATTTAGTGTTCAATCACTAATTTCTATGACGTAGATGTTAGGAGCAGGAATAGAAAAGCAAGCTTGCAATTGTTATCTCCTACAATTTTAAAGATGCTGTAACAGAGCCCACAGCACAATGCAAGCATCAGGAAACATACTGTACAAACATCTCAGCATACTGGAAGACAATGCATGCTTTTTAAAAGCATTAAGATTTAAATCTTATTTATTAAGACTATGCTATGTGTAGATTTTGGTAGATGATTAACCATTATTAAGAGTATCTGCTGACTCAGGGGATGCATCTCCACCACTGTGTATCTATGGCACAGGGAACACTGCAGAGCGGGGTCTGAAAACCTGTAAAAGCCAGAATAAAAAAAAAGCCTGATGGGAAATAGTCTTCCTAGAAATGGCTGATATAACTCTGTTTCAATTAAACACACACACACACACACACACACACACACATATACACACACACGAGTATCTGCTAGGTATCGTGCCCTATGAACTGGAATCCTTACAGAAAGATTATAAATTTGAGGCCAGCTTCAGCTACACTAAACTTCTGATTCTTAAAGATAATCAACTTTCAAAACAGCTAATATTAATGCACAGAGGCACTTAAAATGTACAAAGTGCACGCACACTGATTATCTCCTTTGATACCCACAGAAACTATGTGAGGTCAGCCAGGAAGGTATTATTTATGTCTAGCCTACAGTCACGGAACATAAAGCTTTAAGAAAGTATATCTCCCTGCCACAGAATTCAGAAATAAATATTGAGGATCAAAGCTAGCAAGCTCACCTGCTGAGCCATCTCACCAGTCCCTAGCTGACCTTTGCTTCTTCCATGGACTCTGTTGTATTAGTCTTGAAAACTGTGTATATTTCTTTCTTTTAAAGTAGCGCACCACACTCAAGGGATACTTTGGAAATGTGGAGGAATATTTCCTATATCAATAAACCGGCATTTAGAGGTTGAGGTCAGAACATTGGTGTTGTAAGTGATCAAGTGATGGTCCTGTTTATGTCCTCATGATTTATGTCCTGCAGCCCCTCTCCAGAGGCTTCACCTGGTGCCATTAAGGCAGAATTGCCTGAATTACAGTCAGGTGTTAGGTAGCTGTTGAGACTCTCTATCCCTCCATGAGGGAGTAAACAGTCAAGGCCAGCTGGAATGATCTGTTTGCAAGACAGCACAGCTGAACTCCCCAAGATGGTAACTGCTTGGCTCAGAGTATAGTCATAACACCAATCCAAAGAAAAAGGAAAATCTTCTGAGCAGAGTAAGCCAGTTAGTGAGTATTTACTCATGATAAGGTGGACTGACTATCAGGTAACTATAAAATGTGTGATGGTAGGAGGGTACGTGTATGCATAAGAGTTCTCGTAACTCTTTATCTAAGTAAGATACTAGTAACACACAAGTATTTTTGAATGAGAAAATAAACAAGACAAAAGGCATTGGGTCCAAGGTTCGCAGTAAGTGGGAAAAGGAGAGGCAGACAGTGCCCTAGCTTACTGAGGTCTGTGTTACTATCTGACCTTTTGAACTCAATACCAGTATTATTTTGCTTAAAAATAAAAATGAAGTTTAAAATATCACAGTCTCACTTTTCCAAAGGTTGAGACATCTTTAGAATATAAAACAAGAAAAAAACAAGCCAACAAAGACCATGTCCTTATACACACACTTCACCTGTTTCTCACCTGCATCACTGCCTAGGCAGAACCATGGGACAAGATCTCTGACACTGACTTTGAGGCAACAGAGGAACCTGCAGCATATATGGCTGTCCCACAGTACACTACCACTCCAGAAGGAGTCCCACCTACTAGAGTCAACGTGATTTATCAGATCTGCTATAGAATGATAACTGCATTTCTCATGATGGCTGACTACTGATGCTCATTTTTCTCTGATTCAAGCCTATCTTAATCTCTTTCCCTCCAGACTCTACCACTTAAATGGTCTATATCCCTACACCTCTGCACTGGGGATCAAGTTTACAATATGTAAACTGTGGGGGAACACATCTGGACTGGACGAAAATGATGACAGATACTTGAAATAAAGAAGCACCTCTCCTCCTTATTCCTGTCTGCCTTTCATCTTGAAACAATGAGGAGGATAGAAATTTAAGTTCAATTTTTGGAAATATCTAAAAACCATTCCATGAGTATCAAACTAGTACTGCACACATACAAAATGGAGGAACAGTGCTGAAGACAAAATCCTACACTGAGATGTACCTTCTGCAGCACAGAGTAGAAATGCAGCACAAGACCCTGGCTTGCCTGTCTACACTAGTGGAGATACTGAACATCTTTGTTGACCTCTTCAAGGTCATGATTATAGTCAAGACTGAATATCCTAATATAATATCCGAACAGCAATTTACTAGAAGCTTCTGAGAAAAATTTTCCCTTCAAAAAGCTGATATTCTTGTTCCTGCCTCTTGTTCTCTGGTCTTGACTATGATGTTTCTATGCCAGTATGGGTTATGCTGGAACGATGGTGGAAATGGGAGATAGAACTTCAGCCTTGGTATCAGTGGGGAGGCAAATTAACATCAAGAGCCACCATTATTTAAGCCTCTTACTAGAAAAGGGTCAGGAGCCTTCTAGGAAAGGCTAACACTAGCAGGTGGCCTTCCTGGAGGTGACCCACCTTTTTGCAGGCTCTAAGATGGGTGAGCTCTGAGAGGCAAGGTCCCAAGAGAATCATCTCAGGCTTCCTTCTTGTAGGTGAAATGCCTTTCCTGTCACTATTATGTAGCCTAAGTGTTCCTGGGCATTAGCCCACCCTATTGAACAAATTTCCTATAGATCAACATAAAGATGAGCTTTCATTAATTAATACTGTTTAGATAAATTAATAATTTTATAGAATTCCTGATTTGATTCTAAGAAGAAAGTTTTAGGAGATGGTTTTAGCTATTTTGTTAAAAAAATGTAATAAAGTTAGAATAAAGAATAGAATGTTAGAATGTGCCCATTCCTCATAAATAGTAAGTAAAGGCTGCATAATGAGGAAATATGATGAGCTATCACAATTACACTTAAAGGAGAAATAGGCTTGGGAAAGATTTGTGTTCAAGGAAAAACATTCATTCTAGGTCAGATCTGAGGATGCCACAGGTATGCACTATGATAAAGCAAGGCCATGTGAAACTGTTGCTTTGAAATTGTAATGAGCTTACAGAATGAAACACTGCTTTGAACTTAATATCAACAACCTTCTCTGACTCTCCTTTTGTGTAACAATCTATCTATGATGTGATTTTCTATGAACTTTTATCTATAAAAAGGCCAGAGAAAAGAAATAGAGTGTTGCCGGGCAGTGGTGCCGCACGCCTTTAACCCCAGCACTTGGGAGGCAGAGGCAGGCGGATTTCTGAGATCGAGGCCAGCCTGGTCTACAGAGTGAGTTCCAGGACAGCCAGGGCTATACAGAGAAACCCTGTCTCAAAACAACAACAACAAAAAAAACCAAACAAAGAAATAAAGTGTTGGCTTGGGGGGGGGTGTTCTCCTCCATCCATCCATCTGCCAAATGTACACATGTATACATTTGTTTGTCTATGTGTAGCTCTGAGTGAACACTTGAGGAGTAGATGAAACAGGTGGTGATGTCTGTGTATATGGATGTATATGTGTCTGTAGCACTGTGTATGCAAATGAAGTTCTCTCTTTCCTTTTCTCTCTGGTTCACAAAGAGTTAATGAGCTCTGAGAGCTTCTTGCCTGGCCAGGGAGGGGAGGAGCTCAGGGCTGACTAGCCAGAGGAAGGCACTCTAGCAAATAATCCTTTAATTAATCTCCTTCTGCTAAACAGCATGTGGGCATGTGTCAATTTGCCAGAGTTCAGCACTTACTTAAGCACAATTAATAAAAGTTATAGAGTAAGAGACCAGCATATATTTAAGCTTAAAGAGTTAAGTCTTTAGTGCTTATTTAAGCACAGAACAGTAATAAAAAGTTAAGGATTTTTTGTTAAAGATTTATTTATTTTATGTATGTGAGTGCATTGTTGCTGTCTTCAGACATGCCAGAAGAGAGTATCAAATCCCATTACAGATGGTTTTGAGCCACCATGTGGTTGCTGGGAATTGAACTCAGATCCTCTGGAAGAGCAGTCAGTGCTCTTAACCACTGAGCCATCTCTCCAGCCCCAAGAGTTAATTTTTAGCACAGAACAGTAAGAGTGGAGTCTCCAGCATTTAATAAAACACAGAAATTTATAAAGTAAAATAAAGCATAGGGAATTAAAGAGAAAGGAAGCTGGTGGTTTTTGTTAACTCTCCAGAAGCCATCAGCTTCCAGGCCCCAGTAGAGTTAGAGTTAAAAGGCCAGAGATCATCAGTGTTTTGTCCTTCATCCAATGCTGTATCCCTCTTCAGCTCTAGTCCCCTAAGGCCGGGCAGGCCACCAGCAGAGAAGAATTAATGTCTTCTTTTCTCTAGACATTGTATCTAGTTATCTTATAGCTGAAAACATTCCCAGTACAGTTTATAAAAAGAACTGTAGATGTTTTACACTTTCAGGTCACTCACCTCATTCTTCCACAGGTGATACTGCAGTGCAAATGCAGTAAAGTCTCTTGGGACACAGAAAAATCTGCATTCTGAAGCCAAGCCTTGAGAAGTATTTTTCACTTGTTCGAAGTTTTTATTAATTGACTCCAGAATCCAAGGGTCAATGAGAAACACTGGCACATTTTGGCTGGATGTCAGCATAATAAATTTCTTAACTGCACGCTGTTTGAGAAGAAAATAAATCTATGAAACCATTAAGTCAATACTGAACCCTGGACCTCACACTTACTAGGCAAGTGCTCTGTCGCTACAGAAGGCAAGTATGGTGATGACTGCCTGTAACCTCAGCATTCCAGAGGTAGAGGCAGGAGACTATCACAAAGTTTGAAAGGCAAGCCTGGTCTACACAAAAAGTGCCAGGCTAACCAAGGCTATAGTACTCTTCAAATAACAGACATAATAAGACAAAACAAAGAAGCAATAAACAAATAAACAAAGATTTTTTTTGTTTGTTTTGTTTTTGGAGACAGGGTTTCTCTGTGTAGCCCTGGCTGTCCTGGAAACTCATTCTGTAGACCAGGCTGGCTTCAAACTCAGAAATCCGCCTGCCTCTGCCTCCCAAGTGCTGGGATTAAAGGTGTGTGCCACCACTGCCGGGCAAAGAATTTTTTTTAAATCAAAGGCTTTTTGTTTTCTGATTAGTAAACCAGCATTATTTTTCAGCTTTAAAAACTGTTGTTGTTGACACAGGCTCTCATGTAGGCTAGGCTGGCCTGAACAGTGACTGAAGCTAAGTTGACACAGGCTCTCATGTAGGCCAGGCTGGCCTGGACAGTGTCTTGAAGGTAAGGATGATCTTGAGCTCCTGACCTTGCTACCATGTCTGGTTTATACAGTGCCTGAGATTGAACTCAGGGTCCCCTCCAAGCCAGACAAATGCTCTACCAACTGAGTTACAGTTAAACTCTGACCTCTCAACATTGTTTTGTATGTTTCATTAGGTAGAAAAAAAGTAAGAAAATGTATTTTTACAATATGGAGGTTATGAAATTTTGTAAAACAAAAAATGTAGTGTATATATTTCATTATCTGTTCCTTTCCTCTTACAAAAAAAGCACTGAGATTTTTATTCCCGATTATTAATTTCCCTTTCTGTTTGTAGATCAATTCTGATTCATGTGTTCTTTGATTTGGAGAATCAGTATAGCTCAGTGGACAAGAATTCTAGAGATGGAAAGTTTCCATCTGGATTCGGATACTTACTAGACAATAACCTTACTCTCTCTAACTAGCTAAACTGAGAACAGCAATAGATACTGACTTTATATGGTTTCCACACAGACAAAATGAGATATGTAAAGCTCTTGGTGGAGGGTCTACCCTCATGGCCAAGGTGGTCATTGTCACTGCCATCCTTCCACACATGTTTGAGTAGATCAATGCATGAGCTTCAGACGTCATTGTAACTGACATTTCCTGTCTAGTGTACATACCCACTGTGTGCTATCAAATCCAACTCGATTTCCTTTGGATTTTGAAGAACCTGTTCCATTCTAACAGAGAGGGGAAAAAACGTATTTTAGTCAATTAATAGCCCAGCATGCAATATCCACATGCTTATTTTCATACTCAGAAGCAAACAATAATATAATTTTATAAAACAATCAACCCAAGATGTAAAGCATTGAAAGAGTATCACAAGTTATTGAAATAGTTCAATGTTAGGGTGAACATTTCTGAATCAATTAATGGCCATCAAGAAAAACCATCTGCATCCAGATTCCTGTGTCTGTCTGTCTCCCCTTTCCCAACCTCTCTCTGTCCTGCCCCAGTCTCCTAAATCCTGAGATTACATCTAGAACCACCTGTCTCTCTGAAATTAGAGTTTGTCTACTTAGCTTCATATTCCTAACATCATCTCCACACACTGAAGAGATGGCAAAGGAAGTTTTAAAAAGGTGTAAGGAGTTCCCGAGTGTCAGGGTCTCTTTGATACTTCTAAAAGAAAAAAAAAAAAAGGTGGTTTACTCCCTTATCTACTCCCCCTCAACAATCCTGCAAAGCAAGTGACATTATTTCTAGCTGAGAGATGGCACCACTGCTCACACTTTTCATGATATACACTATTATTTCACATGCTCTACGTTTCTTATAAATTAACAGTCCTTTTTAAATGTTCAGGTTCAGAGAGTCAGAAGGAAGAAAGCAATATTATCAGTATTTATATGATTAGCCCTGAAATGCTTTGAAACTGTTTCAAACTCAAAGAAGTTTTACATCTCCTATGCTTTCAATGTTTTTGTACCTGTGAAGTATAAATATGTGAATCAGAAGTGCCCCATCCTACAAATACAATGTATTCAACATTCTTAAAACGATCGCTCATCTTCTCATTAAATTGCATACTCAAGGACAGGTGCCAAAACCAAGCTGTCTTTGTATTACCATGTCTGGCACAGTGCTTGGTTAAATAAATGTAAGTAAGACTTTATTAACTGGAGGAGAAAGGAAAAGAGAAAGAGTAATTAATGTAGAGCTGGATTCAGTGTCTTGTAAAATCTGCAACTTAACAACACTTGAATAAAAATGTACATTTGAGACAAATAAACAACAAAAATAAAGAGTAACTTTGTTATCTTCAGGATGGAAACTGGAGGCAGTCATTCCTTTTCAGCACAGCCGGGCATTAGGAGAGGAGACTGAATATGTTGTATTTGGAATAAGTACATTTCTAGTCAGCTAGTAGATTATTTTATAGCTTTCTTTGGAATTAAGATCATATATCATAAATTCTACTCCTTTAAATGATATAGTTGACTGTATGCATGGTTGTCGGAACACTTCAAGGAGAATTCTGAGAGTTTGTAAGGAATCTCTTATGACAAGAGTCTTATGCCCTCAGTTTCTTCAAAGCACAGAAGTGATCTTGGAACGTGTTTTGTGCTCCTCCCAGGTGTAGTGGGTAACAGAGTTTACTTAAGCTGTTACTCATGTGTGTCTAGGGAAAACCACGTTTTTGACATGTGAGGCTGACCCTTGTGATTGTACCTTTACTCAGATGACTTTCCTTAACTCTCAGAGTATATAATTGTCTGATGTTATGAATAAAGGTGGCTAATGGGTGAAACTTTAGTCACCTCATTTTCAGGCCTGCTCTCATAGGTCCATGGCACCAACTAGAGTGGTAAACAAAGTTACAGTTGTTACTGTCACCTCTACCTAGAACACTCCACCTTGTCCAAAGTACATTCTGATTAGCAGTCATTCCCTAGTCTTCCTCTGTGCCACCATACTAACATTAACATACTTATAATCCCAGCATTTGGGAGGCTGAGGCCAAAGGATCTTTATGAATTCTAGGCCAACCTGGATGATATAGTGAGATTCTTCATCAAAAATCAAAGTAAGATAAGCAACAGAAATCCAGCTACTCAGTTGTCTGCACATGTAAGCATATAGCTAACCATGGCTGTCCAGCAATTTTCCTTTCTCTGCTGGACCATTCCTATTAGTATATAAATACAACATTATTCTTCCCATTAAAAATACTTAAAATAAGAAACAAACAAAAACCTCTTGACAGCCCTTTTCCTCAACAATTTCTTGTTCTCCTGTATGCTGCATAGTTGTGGTGGTACAGCCTTTTCTCTGTGAGTTAGAAGCCAGCCTGGTCTATAACACTAGTTCCATGATACCCAAGGCTATACTGAGGAAACCCTCTATTAAAAAACCAACCAACCAACCAACCAACCAACCAACCAACCAACCAACCAAATAAAAAACTCTAAATGGTTGCATTCATTGTCATTAATTCTTTCCTATGAGATCACCTGAGCTCAGATTCACTCTGCCATACACTCCTCTACCATTGACTTCCACAAGCTAATTCCATTGGTTGTTAGCTCTTACCTCACTTCATCTAACAAGACTTGGTAACTTCTGCTTCACTGGAATACTTCATTTACTGGACTCTCATGATTCCCATACTACACTCTCCTGCTATGTCTCTCTGGCTGTTCCTTCTTAGCTTCACTAGCTAGTTCTCAATTCCTTGAAACGAGCTTAAGGGGCCAAAGCTCAGATCCTGAGATATTCTCTTTTAAATCTATGTTCACATATTTGGTATCTCATTGAGTCTTGTTATTTTTATAAAGATTTACTTCTTATATGTGTATGAGTATTCTGCTGATACATATGTATCACATGTGTACAGTGCCTGCAGAGGCCAGAAGAGGGCGCTAAATCTCTTGGACCTAGAGTTACAGGAGGTTGTGAGCCACCCCACAGGTGCTGGAAACCAAATCTAGATCCTCTTTAAGAACAGCAAATGTTCTCAACTGCTAAACCATATCTCCAGCCCTCAGCTGGTGCTTCTGCTGCTTCTCCTCCTCTTCCTCGTCCTCCTCCCCTTCTTCCTTTTCATCCTCTTCTCTTCCTCCTCTCCTTCTTTTAATATTTATTTACTTATTTTAGAGATGTCACATGATCAAACTCAGGAAAGCGCCTTTACCAAAGAGTCATCTTGCTCCCTCAAGTCTTACAGCTGTATATACCACCTATCTGCTTACACTATCCAAGCTATAGTACTCCTTTGAATTGCAGACTCATACATCTGTCTATTCTTTACCAGGATGTCAACTAGGCACCTAAAACTGGCACATGCAAAGCCTTCCCTCCATCATACTTCAGACTTGCTCTTCTAGTTTTTTTCTCTCAAACTGCAACTTCTCACATCTATTGCCTAGGTCAAAAACACAAGGAACTTTTGATTCCCTTCTGTCTTTCATGCCCTGCATTATAGTCGCCTTTTAACTAGTTCTTTCAGCCTGTGCTCCTATAATCTATTCCTAAATAGACTCACAATTATGCCATGTTAATAGCTCAAAACCTTCCTATGGTTCAATCTTACCAATAGGACCCAAAGTTCTTATGACAGTCGATAACACTCCCAATGACAGCAAAGTCCTCAGACAGCAAAGTCCTCGGTCTCATCTACTCTCCTCTCACCTCTCAGTCTCTACAACTATGTCAACCCCCAGGCTATTCCAGACACTTTCCTCCTTGATTTTTGTACTCTATTTCCTTTGGATCTACACAGAGAACTCTTCATATAAATACATATATACATACATACATACATACATACATATATACACATATACATAGATACATATACATAGATACATACACACACACACACACATATGCAATTCATTCTTTTCAAATGAACTTTTTCTTTAGTTGTAAAGGCCTTCTACATTCCTCATGCTCACCTGGAAAACTCTTACACATCCCCTAAGACCAACTTAAAATATTGTGCACCCATGAAATATCCAGTAACCCAGTCCTCCAAGTATGTTATTCTTCAGATCTTTTTTTTCCCTGAAAACTTAACTTGAAGAGTCAAAGATAAGAACACGAGGGATATCTGTTCTTAATGGCCTCTTGTAAGAAAATGAAAGCAAGGGTACATTTTGCAAATGTTCCAAAAAGTATGTAGTTTTTAAAATATACCCATGAATCTATAAAATAAAGGGTCCTAGAATTTAAATTTCATTATCTTAATAGTTGCTCTATCTAGTGGGAAGAACAGCTACTGGTACTGGTACCCAGTGGCTATAATTGTAAATGAATAAGAAAAATGCAGCCACTGCCAACCAATGACCATATAGAGAATCAAGAAAATAAATAACCTGACCTCTTCTTCTTCCTAGTCTCCAGTCTCCAGCTGATGTTTCCCATTGGTTGAACCCAACTGGAAACCAAAAGGCAAGGGAGCTCATCTAATGAAGTCCATAGAGGTCAGCTCCCAAGGCATAGAGTATGGTGAGGAGAGATCTGGAGAGGTAAACAGAGAATATCCTCCATACTATACTATGTAGTTTATGTTAATTCTATATACCTATAGAATTATATAAGTATGCTATGCAGAGAATTTGATCAAAAATTCTAAAATTGAAATTTTAGAAATATGTCTAACAGTACATAAGAATTATGAAGTCTAAACACAAGGGGATAGAAGAATTCTTAGCTAGTAAAATATTCAGAATGGAGTCTTGTAGAAATTTATTTAAATTCTGGCCTAAGATTTCCATGCTGCCTTACCTATTTAAGTTCCTGAATGAAAGACACACACAACTTTTATATTTTCAATAAGCCTTAAACACCACAATAGCTGGGCAGCTGTCTAGCTAGCCTCTATGTGATTAGAATCTACTTTCCTATTGTTACCTGAGTTATTACTTACTATGTTTCATCTGGCCTGCTCATTTAAGTCCAATTGGCCAGCCCTCAGCAGCACATTCTCTTGACCCCTAACCCACAGTGGCTTCTCTTTCCTCCTCCTGCACTCTTCTTCTCTCCTCATGGTTCCTCTCCGACCTCAAGCTCCCAAAACCTAAACCCCACCTATGTCTCTTCTGCTCAGCTATTGGATGATGGCATCTTTATTTACCAATCAAATATAAAGACAAGGTCACTCACCATCTTATATGCAGGCTCTCTTATCTCTAAAACAATCAATCTTAAAGGTTCAATATTAACATTAAAATACAAACAACCTTAGGCCAACTCACTAGAGTCAGAAGAAGTAAATACTAAATTATTCGTCTATTTTCTTACATGTTCCTTAATCTTTAGTTCGAAAGCTCCTCAAGTTGTGAGTTTAGGGAGTTAGGGCTGATCTTCACCCATCACTCTGTTCTAGTCTATTACTGTGCTCAGCTTAAATAGTTTCAACAAAACAAGTCAAGGGATTAAGAAAACAAGCACATAGATATTTCAAAATATTTCCTACTCAATAGTTATACTGAAAACTTAAAGGCCACAAGTAAGTAGATGGGCAGACCCAGATCCTAAAAAGAACTGGTAGAAGAATAATTGGTGACTATTGATCTCCAGTGATCCAACTAGGATATAATTAAAGAGAAGGCATTCTAGAAATAGGATGCTAAGACAGAAAAGTCTTGTCATTTCTGATACACAGTATCCAATAATCACATTCTTACAAAACCCAAAATCCAAATTCTTAATTTGTATGTCTGCTTAAACATGCCCACTTAGAGTCAAATGGTTACTAATTTGTTAAAAACTTTAAGGTCTTCAATACATGATTTTTTTCCCCAATTGTTTATAAACCTGCACAAATAAAGCTGAGAGACCCTAACTGTGGCGAATCCCTATCTATTTGTGTAGTTGCCTTCTTCTGCATCTCCTTCACATAGAAATACCTCTCTCAAGGTCTCCATGGACTGAACTCCTAAATGTTACCAGCAAGAAAGTCATCTGTCTTAGTAAACCATTTGAAAACCAATAATTTACAACCTGAGAATATACAAAAGAATAAAAAATATGTAAAAAACTGTAGAAAAAATTTATCTTTTTCTGAGTAATGAAAAACTGGAGGGATGGAAGGGGGGTTGATATTTACTCAAATTTGCCATATTACACTACACTGTAGTCTAGGATAATGTCCAGTATACTTCCATTCCAGGAATAATGTACATTTTCCCTTCAGAGAAAAATAAAGCAAGCCAAAAGTCAAAGACCAAATGAAAATCTTTGCATAATTTTAGTAAGCAACAAACTTACAAATCTTCAGAGAGCCTTTGCTGCACGGGTTCTCCATGGCTGTAGGATTAATTCCCACTCTAATGATGGCATATGAAATTGTTCACTGTGAACAACTGTCATCTTTCTTCTTTCAAACCTCCCTCTAACTGAAAACAAATTACTCAGCATAATGGGAAGCCAGCCCAGAATGCCACTCTGTGATGGCCACTGGTAATGCGAACAGTGACTACTGAAGGCACTGGTGTGGCTCATCTGACTAGAATGCACAATGCACGCTCTGCTTCACTTAGTGCTCTGTCTTGAGCTTGGCCATCAAGCTCAATATTTTCAATTGTCCAGCAGCATTCTGAGAGCCATTTGATTTCCTATTTGCCAATCTGATCACATTCTGTTTAAATACAGTTTTACTTACACATCAGAATGGCTCTACGAGTAAAGATAACAGTTTTAGGTTCCAAACCTTAAGCGAGAAACTATCTAGATTCCAGTTAACTCATTTATAAAACAGTGAAAATATAGGCTCACAAGGACTAATGATTTCATTCATTCATTCATTCATTCATTCATTCATTCATTCAGGGGTGAGAGAAGGTATGCCATGGCCCATATGTGGAAGTCAGAGGACAACTTTGAGGAGCCAGTTCTCTCCCTCTACTGTATAGGTTGCAGGAATTGAATTCACAATTGTCTAGCTTAGAGGCAAGTGACCTTACCCACTGAGCCTCTCACCAGCCTCTCAACTTTATTTTTAAACTTGTAATGTAAGCCATTTGTAGGAAACAGAAGTTTCTAGAAGCTATCGGGTTTTAGCATGTACTATGTAGAAAACACTAAGTGACATCAACTAGACTACCTCAATTGACAACGTTACTGAGCCCCGGTCAAAGAAATCAAAGCTTAAAGAGGTGATTTGCAGAAAGCCAGATGACTAAACTAAGATTCAACTCAGAACCCATGCTCAAGAATTACTACTACTGATAAAACTATCAAATTATGAACATCTTGAAAGTAAGACCTTTACCCTATTAACCTCAGTTTTCCTGCTATAGACCTTGTGCATTAACAAGTGATCAGTAAATACACATCAAATAAGCACACTGAATTAAAATACATTAACCTGTTGGGTGTAGTAAGAAATAAATAAATAACAATGAATGGTTGAAACTTCCCTAGGAACATGTCTTCTTGGTGTGAACTCTATGCTGACTCTGGATGGAGCCCAGTTTACAGGGGGTGGACTCACAACCTTCTGAGTTTATAATGGTGTGAAAGTACTACTATGCACAGCATAGAAATCATACTTTTTTTTTTTATTGGATGTTTTATTTACATTTCATATGTTGTCCCCTTACCCCATCCCCCACCCACCCAGGAACTCCCTATCCCCTTACCCCTCCTCCTTCTTCTCTGTGGATGTAACCCCTACCTACCCCCTCCACTCCCACTTCCCCACCCTCAAAATTCCCACCCCCTGGGGCGTCCAGCCTTCATGAGGTCAAGGATCTCATCTTTCCCTGGGCAAGCTATTCAGAACTCACAATGCTGTGGAGCTATCAGCCATGTGAGAATGAACAGAGTACTACGCAAGCTATGCTGTTCAGTAGATGAGGCATATTAAATACAGTTTGATCCTATAATGAGTTTATCGGATGTAACCTCACTGTAGGGTGAAGAATATCTGTACTTGATTAGAGTCCATGGAATGCTCACGATGCTACTATTCCACTGGAGTTTGTGTTTCAGGATATGAGGGTGATCTCGCTGTGGTATCTGCTACCTCTGCCAGGATTGATTTGGCTGGCGAGGCAAGTGTCCCCTTCCTCCCTCACTGCTCCATGTTTGACCCTCTTGAAGCTGAGCACCCAGTCCGTCAAAAATGACAACCTTCCCCCACAAAGAAGCACTATACTTGGGTCAAAGGTATATGAGAAGCTGTGCTCCCTGACAGAACATCCAAACAAAGTTTGGATTTTAAAAACCTGAACTTCTGTCAAGCCTATTCCTTTATTAAATACAGTGTATTTGTTCCTTACCTTTAATTATTAGATAGTTGGATTGAGTTCATTGTAGATCACAGAAAATCTGAACATCTAAATAAGTGGTGAGGGCCAAGAGGACATATATCTACAGTAATGCTCCAAGCATTACCAGAAATAGACCTTCTTTATTCTAAGGCAGCAAACGGCCCCCTTCTCTAGTCCACGGCCGACTGAGGGTAATCCCTCCTAAGATCCTGGACCGCTGTGTACTCATCCCAACATGGAGCGACAGGCATTCACTGCTGCTCACAGCTACCTGACTGCAACCCAGTATCTCTACTACTTCAATCCCTCAAACACCAACAAGGGTAAGTTACACTACAATCACAGTAGACTCTAAATCAAAATATACACTATTAGATAAAATAATTTTGATATGTTATCAAAATTTCTTATCAGTGACTTAACTGGTACTATTTAGGAATAATAATTTTTAGTCAATGGGAAATGTGAATAGGTTAAATATTATTGAAACATTACTTTTGATTTAATTGTATTATTACAAAAACATTTAACTGAATTTTAAACTGCCTGTCACATCCTACGAAGAAGAGAACCCCACTGAGACATGTTTCTTTAAAAAATAAACATTATTAATTTTCTATACTAAAATTTAAATATGTTAAGAAAACATGTAGCCACAATTATGTTTAATAAGAAAAGACAATTACCCTTGCCAACAAATAGTGCTTGTAGTAGTACAGCTGAAACAGCAGAAATGCAGAACTTGTCAGTGTCAAAAGGGCCAAGACCACGTTCTTATTGATTCTACTCATTGGTCTGTGGTTGCTCTTGGGTGGTTTTTAATAGTAACCCAGTTGTTTTCATCTTCTTCATGAAACAGAATCTTGTTTTCTGTGACCACAGATACTTCTGCAAAGAAAAAAGCCAATTTGGCAACAAAAAATAATTAACTTCAATAATTATTGGCAATGCGTGCATGAGCACACACACACACACATACACATTTATATTTACCCAAGTATGGCAGTACATGGCCGTATCACCAGCATTTGGTAGCTGAGGCAGGGCGATAGCAATTACACTGCCAGCCTAGGCTACGTAATGAGGTCAAGACCAGCTTGAGCTCCATAAAAAGATTGTCTCAAACAAACTAATAAACATCAAAAGCAAATGTAGAAAAGAAAAAATAAAAAGACAAGGAAAAGCTATCTGCAGTTCCACAGAAGACTATGGCCAAGAAGGAATGCAGAGAGGAGGTTTTTCCAATGTGTCTGACTCAACAGAGCTGTCCTGGGACCTCTGGACCTCAGGATGTATGTCTGACAAGTTCAAAGTCAATGCTACTTCTGACCACACCAAGAACTACTTCCATAGGAAAAAAGTGAGACAGTTTTTAGTCAAGGAGCACAATATCTAGCTGTTTTGTGAGAGGTGTGTATGTGTGTGAGATATAGGATGTTCATATATGACCTTGGTGTATGTGTGTGAGATATAGGATGTTCATATATGACCTTGGTATTTGCAAGGGTAAAGAAGACTTTGGTAAACATTTTGATCTTTCATCCTGGGTATTACCTCTGATTATCTATTTAGAATAAAAAATTTAGTATGTATATACTTACCTCCTCTCCAATACATTATCTTAGTTAGGTATATTTAAAGATCCCCTAGTATTTAGCTTTATTTCTTCAATAATAATACATTTTTTACTTAACATCTAAGTTTTCTGTCTTTTCTTCCCTGGTTATAAGAAACTGACAAACTATGCTTCTTTCTTTCCTAGTTTCTTTCTTTTTCTTAATTATTTCTACTTGGTTATTTTATTCTGTCTCTTAACTATGCTATTTTGTTCTTATTCCACAGTGTTCCACGGTGATCCTATTGTCAGACTCTTTGCCCACTCATCTCTGCAGCTTATAAAAAAAAAGAATGTGAAGGCATTACTTACTGTTAGTGTGTTAGTGTTAGCATTGTTAAAAAAAACAATGTCAGCAACGTTTGGCTGTGTGTCATACTTTACTTCCCCTGATAAGTTACAGGATTTATATCACTGCCCTGTAATGCTAAATATTCTCTTGATAACATTCAATACCATAGCCCCACATATGCACAAAGGATGCATATATATTCCCTACCAGTGAAATGCAACTCTTGTTTACCTAGACTTAAATAATGAAGGTGGTTTCATTTTCTTTAGTCTTTGAGTGTTCTTTCAACTTATAACGATTATAGAAAGCTTTTTGAAGTTATGTTTAAATAACTTCATTAGGACATTGGATTATCTATTTCCAGAAGTAAAGTATAACTCCTTCACTCCCCTTTCAGTTTGTTCAACTTCCAAAGCCTGTTATCATGTCACCTTACTGAAGCTTGAATGTCAACTTTCCATTTCAATAGGCTGGTACTTCTTGTGAGTCCTTTCATCCTGAACTCTGACAGGCAGCTGTCTTACAACCAACTACTAGCACTTGAACCAATGAACTTTGCCTTATTTTTTGCAATGCTGCTATCCAGGGCTAGCAAGCATGTTACCACTGAGATACAGTACAACAATGTCATTTTAAAAGATTTTCAAAAGATGATTTATAACTATAAGTACATGCACGGGTATGTTTGTTCACACGTGTGCAGGTGCCCATGAAGGACAGAGGAACTGGAACTCCGTGGAACTGGAGTTTACAGGTGGTAGTTGTGAGTCACCTGACATGGGTACTAGGAAGCAAACTCAGATCCCTGGGAAGAGCAGTATATGCCCTTAACCACTCACTTCTCCATCTTTCATTAATTTCCCCTACGGCCTGTACAGTCGTCACTTATTTTCTAGTTTATCTTCTTGCTGAAGCATTTTTAATGTTCTTTTTCTTTTACTTATCTTTAAATGACCTGAGCTCCCTCAGATACTGGGGTGGGAGGGAAACATGTTCTAGACTAGATGGAAGTTTTTTTTTTTTCCCTGACAGAACGGTTTATACATGTGTGTGCATATGTGAGAAAGACAGAGAACACATGTTACATGTGAAAAGTTAAGACACAACTCCTTCATGATAACAGAAACAGGTACCAAAGAGTGTCTGACAATCTCCCCTCCATTTTGCTGCTGTACAGATAGGGCATTTGTGTATATACTGTTTGTTTTTCTTCTTTCTAGTTCATGCTGCCAAACATCTGAGGCTGCTCCCACACCTTCCCTGTACGTCCAGACCTCTGTACAGAGAACCATGTACTCTGTTCTATCAGTTCTGAGATCTGTTTCTACAAGGATTTTCCTTTTACTTGTGGCAACCACTTCTCAAATATTTCAGTTTGGGGTCACAGTAATATCTGCCTTGGGGAAGCTGTGTTACCACCCATCTCCCATTTTTCATGTTGTTTCCGGGTAACTTCAGACTGAATAAAGTAGAAGGATTTTTACTCTGCCATTTTAATTAAAGTCCTGAGTTTTTGTGCGGAGCTTTAAAACAATCCACATAAACAATCTGAACACATAAAACAAGCACTGGAAGAAATCACGTAAGATCAACTATCCATGGGAGATACCTCAACAGAGATAGGAATCAACTGCCCCATCTGCAGATAATGTATCAAAATATTGGCATCAATCAAGATGTTCTCCACTAACCTGTGAAAATCAGCAACATCCATCAATACTGATGATGGTACGAGTCTGCTGTTAACTAAAACCTGTTATCTAGGACCTATCTAGGGCAGGTCCTAGATAAGATTATTTCTCAAACTCTCTAGATTTCAGCTATTCCTCATCCATGTGATGAACAGCACACACAGTGTACTGCATGGTGCTTCTGAGTGACATCTAAGCTGGCATCTAAGCTTACCATTACTAAGCTTCCTCTAAGAACAACTATTCTAAAATTCAAAATAATATACTATTGTTTTGGGGGAGCTGTCTCTACACTTAATGCAAGACTAATCCATTAATAATACAGTAATAACCACTTAAACTAAGCAACAGGATAGTTTTAAACAGAGATGTCTCTCGGCAGCATCACAGGCCCTGGCTTCTTCAGTGGCACAGAACCTAAATCAGGATAATATTGGTGTACAAATTAATTGTGACATTTTAGCTATTACTTTAAAAACAGTAAGGAGAATGCATTTCTCACTTTACATGTATGTAAAGAAGATACTTATCACGTGTAATGGAAAGTAAAAATTATTGCAGAGCTAATAAAATGAGCACAGTGAGCACACCTTCGAACGAATTAAGGATGACCACTGAGAAGACTCAGAAGAGAGGAAAGAGAGTGGTAAACCAACCACCTCCTCTCTTCGAAGCGGTTGCAGCTGGCTGCTGTACACAGAACTTGTCCTTCTCAGGTGGAACCCTCCCTGGGTGGCTGCCCTGCCATTTTCCCTTCCTTTCCCTGTGACTTCAGCACTCAGAGCAGCGGCTGCAGCAGTTCCTCCTCTGTGGACGCACCTTGGCAAACACTGATCCTCACACCTCATCGTTCTCCACGCATCGTCCGCTCTCGCCACCCAGCTCAAACGTCACTGTCCCAACCCGGCCTCTACAAGCGTCTCCATAAACCTCCCAAATCGAAGACGGGTCAGGATGATCGGCGGACAGCATGGGCATGTGGGAACTATCTGTCGCCGTGACTGCGACAGCAGGCTCGTGCACTGACTCGCAGATGGTACCTGCGGCCGACGTCGGACTCCTCCCCGCCGCCGTAGGGCGGGTACCCTAAAGGTGGACGACCGCTAGTCATAAGTCAGCGACACGTGCCTGAGGGAACCCGCCCATGCCCAGGCTCAGAGACCCAGCCCGGGAGTCCTCATCTTACCTAACTCTAGGGCTGCGGCGGAGGCCTCGCTTTACGGCAGCCACGGCAACTGTCGCAAATAAGCCGTCAAGCGCGCAGCGGCGTACGCTAGTCCCTGTACGGTTTGGTGGTACTGTCTTGTGTCCGCTTCTGCTGTCAAGTTCTTGGAGCCCTGCTACTTGTCTGGCCTTTAGAAATCTGCAGACAGCCATTCCTCAGCAGCGCCCTGAGGCTGCCTGGAGTTTAGGAAAACCGAAACGGTCTCCCCTAGTGTGCGGCTCACCAGACACAGCACAGAAAGTGCAAACTTAGGGTGGATAATGATTCCTTCTCTCTCTCCCACCCTCTCTCCCTTTATCGCTCCTTGCGCCCCTCCCGCTCTTCCTTCTCTCTCCACATTCTACTATTGTGGACAGAATGGGAAAGAGCACTGTGAAGTGATGTATGTACTCATGAAGCTGAAGTGCCTACTTGACATCCAGGCCTAGAAGATGCTATCTTCCAGTTTGGGGCTTGAAAGAAATAAAGACGGTTCTGGGGTTGGCATCTTTGCGTTTAGCGGTGTAATTTAAAGAGTTCAGATCAAGGATCAGATGTGGATTTTGATAGGAATTTTTGAAAAATAAAAGTACTGAAGAGATTATTGTAATTTTAAGTTCTCTGTACGGAAATTATAACGGCGTATAGAAAAAAAAATTTATCCTACATACCCCGTTCTGTATCATTTAATTCAGACTGGCCTTAAAGTCTACTGAGCCCAGTATGGCCTTCAAATGATCCTACTGCTTCCACATCTCAAGTGCTGGGATAACTTTGCATCACCATGCTTAGCTTAAAACAGAATTTTTCTAAAAATTGTGATGGAATATGGCTGTATCAAAAATTTTTAGTAAGTCTGATATGCCTACGATTTAAGCATTTGGGGTGCTAAGGCAGGAGGATTCAGAGTGAGCCCTTTTCACACACACACACACACACAAACACACACACAAATACAATTGATGCCTACTGGGATATTAGGAGGTGATATTTGAAAAGAAATGAAGAGTGTTATGTTCAACAATGTCTGGAAATTATAAGGAGGAAAAAAAAACTTCCCTGGTTTTAGAAGTGGATACATTTCAAGTACATAGTAAATCTTATCCTGTATAAATCTCGAAAGAGGCAGAGGACTAGCCAGTTTTCTGATCTGAGCTAAGTTTAAGTATAGATCTCATTGCTTTTCCTATATAAGCACAGTCGTAATGTGCCATCTACATTACCAAGTTCCTGTTACTGTAAAGTACATCAGGATTTAGAGATATATCAAGGAAAGAATTTAGAACCCTTCGAAGAAAATTGACAATCCTTGTGGATATCTTAGACATAAGTTGTCAGCAACATTTTTTTTTTGGCAATTTACCTCTAAATTTTCTTCTACTTGAAAATAACTTTATTCTTTTTGATATAAGCTTACAAAGTAAAAGCCCATTTACCACTGGAAATTGGACAATAACCAGGTAAACACACTGATGATAGTCCTTGTTAATGGGTTGAAAGTGAACTGCTCCCCAGATGCTTCTGATGAAATACTTTGTCTCCAGGCAGTTTTAGAAACTTTGAGGGGTAGGATTCTAAAACCCTGGAGGCAGTGGGCCATTAGAGTGGACAGGCATTAAGGATTACAGCCCAGCTCCCCTTTCAGTCTGTTCTCTGCTTCTTGGTCCAGTCCATCTAGATGTGAGTCGACTATCCACCTGTCCCAGCTGCCATAAACTCTGCCATGTCCTCCCTCCTATGATAGACTTTAACCTCTCCAACTATGAGCCAAAGGGAATGTTTATTCCCTTAATTTACTCCTGTCAGATCTTGTCATACAATTAGAAAATAGTACTTACCAAGTGGGCTCAGAGAGGCAATTTGGAAAACTCGCTCACCATAAAAAGTCTTTTAACCTAGTTAACCACATTCAAAGCTGTTGAGAAGGATACAAGGAGGAAAAAAAATAGCCTCCATCAGAAGTAAACATTCACCTTTCAAAAATCATCCAGGTGTGTGTATTTACACATTGTGGCCTGGTAACATTTGTGGTACCCTATGGTGGCAAAAATATAAAATAGCAGCAGCACTAACAAATTTAAGTAACCAAGAGCTTAACCATCAAATGCCATATTCAAGGGCTGGAGAAATGGCTCAGCAAGCAAAGAACACTCAGTATTCTCCCAAAGGACCCAAGTTCTATTCTGTAACTCCAGTTCCAGGGTATCTAATGTCCTCTTCTGGCCTTTGAGGGTACTCACACTTATGTGACATACATATATACCTAAAGAAAATGAATATAGGAGTTTCTTTAATATCCATCCTTGATAGATTTTTTTCTGAAGGAACATAAATCCAGATTCAAATATGGAACTCGCAAATTCCTCAGACAATGTTGGAAAGTGACAGCATAAATACTATGTGACCTGGAATATGTGCATGTAGATACTCCCGTTGGCACATCCAAGCTGTAAATGTTGCAGCTCCAAAGGGAAGAGCTTCCCCTACAGAAGCTTACAGCTCTGCAGGGGCTGCAGGAAAAGGTTTCCCCAAGGCAAGCCTAACATTTCTGCTTTAACAGAGAATTTCCCCAGCAAAGGTGTTTAATAGCTCTACTCCACCAGAGCCAAGGAACACCACAAAGTCACACTGCACAACAAACCTCACACAAGAGATTTATTGGAGGGGAAACCCCAGCACGGTGGCTGCTGCTGCTTGGGAGAAGCAGGGGTTTCTTGTGGGGCAGGGCAGAGCTTTCCAGGGTGGAGATTTTCAGAGTGAGGATTAGTAAGATTTCAATTCCTGAGCTTGAGCAATCTCAGGGATTGGTGGGAGTCTGTTTCTTGACCCTTGACTTAGTCTTGGGGTCAAGTCAGGGTCAGGGTGTTTTTTCCTTTCATTCCTCCCCCCCTTTTCCTTTTATTGGATATTTTCTTTATTTACATTTCAATTGTTATCCCTTCTCCAGGTCTCCCCTCTGGAAACCCCCTATCCCAATCCCCCACTCCTGCCTCTATGAGGATGCTCCCCCCCCACCTCCCCACCCTGGCATTCCCCTACACTAGGGCATCGAACCCTGACAGGACTAAGGGCCACTCCTCCTACTGATGTCCAACAAGGCCATCATCTGCCACACACGCAGCCAGAGACATGGGTCCCTCCACTCTTTGGCTGGTGGTCCAGGAGCTCTGGGGTTCTGGCCAGTTGACACTGTTGCTCCCCCCCATAGGGCTGCAGAAATCCTCAGCCCCTTCAGTCTCTTCTCCAACTCCTCCATCTGGGACCCCATGCTCAGCCCAATGGTAGGCTGTGAGCATCTGCATCTCTATTTGTCAGGCTCTGGCAGAGCCTCTCAGGAGACAGCTATATCAGGCTCCTGTCAGCAAGCACTTCCTGACATTTGCAATAGCATCCCAGTTTGGCAACTGTATATAGGACATCCGGATCCCCAGGTGAGGCAGTCTCTGGATGGCCTTTCCTTAGGTCTCTGCTCCACACTTTGTCTTCACATTTCCTCCTATGAGTACTTTGTTCCCCCTTCTATGACGCACTGAAGCACCCACACTTTGGTCTTCCTTCTTCTTGAACTTCATATGGTCTGTGAATTGTATCTTGGGTATTTCACTGATAAGTGGATATTAGCCCAAAAGCTTGGAATACCCAAGATAAAATTTCTTTTGCCCTTTTATACTATACAAGCACCAGTCTTGACAAATTGCCATCCATGGTGTGTGTGTGTGTGTGTGTGTGTGTGTGTGTGTTTTGGATAGATCTTGGGAACATGCCTACACAGGTCCTCAAGGAAAATTTAACAGATGACCAGGAAAGGAGGTCTGGCTGGGGTACTGGCCTGAGGAATCCAACCTCTAGTTTCATTTCCTGTTGCTTTGATAAAATACTCTGACAAAAGCAATTTGGAAGGCAAGGCTTATTTTTGTCTCACAGTCCTGGAGTACAGCATATCATATTAGGAAGTCAAAGAGGCAAAAGCTTAAGGGAGCTGGTGACATCATATCCCAAAGCAGGAAGGAGCATAAGAGAAAAGATCGCATGCTCGTGTTCAGTTAGCTCTCTCTCTTCAGTCCAGGACCCACTTGGTGAAATGGTACTGTCCACATACAGGATAGGTCTCCCTAACCCCACCCATAGACACACCCACAGATTAACCTAAGTAAGACAACTGTCACTGAGATTCCTGTTTCATGTGATTCTACATTGGGCCAAGTAGACAATTAAAACCAACCATCAGACACCCTTAGGGAATTCTACTAGGTGACGCTGGGAGCTTGATTGCTATTATGGCGTTTCAGGATGAGTCGCTATGAAGCAGAGCTAGGTTAACTAAGCATTTTACCAATAGCTATATAAAAACAAAACCCCTACCCATGCCCTTAAATGTCCATTTATCCCAATTGAGGTCAAGAAATATGGAAGACATGGTCCTTGGCTTCCTTCCAATTGTGATTTTATGAAGAGCAGTCCAATGGAGACAAGGTCAGGACCCAAGTATCTGGTGCATGGAGAATCTTGTATCATACTGTATATACTACTGGCTGGCTCTGTTTAGAATATGAGTAGCCTTCCCTTAACATATATTTTATCACTGGATTTATCAATCCCTCTGGTGATAACTTTGAGTGACGTGGGAATAAGCAACTAGTACCATGCAATATCAGTACAAAACCGTGTTTGATGCACAAAAACTTCACCATAAAATTTAGACTGGACATAAGGAAAAAACTAAATTTTGAAGGAACTAGTTGCCATGTGATTTATATGATGGCTGGAATGTGAAATGTCCCTCCAGCTCTTACATTTCATAATGGTGCTGTTTTGGAGTTTGTGGAACCTACAGTTGCTAGGAGCGGGTTGTTTGTGGCCAGGTCTTAAAGGTTATAACCAGTTTACTACTGGACCAATCTCTTGCTTGTTCACCATGCCTTCTCACACAGGATTTCTGTCCCCTGAAAACACATCTTTCTTCCCTGAAGGCAGTTACTTCTCAGATAGTTGATCTTAGCGACAAAACTAACAGTCTACATATTTATAATATCAACTGCAGGAAGAGATTCAAAGAATATATACAAGCCATTATATAAAAATAGTTAACTTGCAAGTACAAGTCAGAAAGGGGAACCTTCAAAATTCTGATAGTCCATTATTTAAGTCTATTATTATTCAGGTAACTCTGAACTGTGGAGGCCAGTTCTTTGCCTAGCAACCACAAAGGATGA